CTCCATATAAGCGAAGCCCACATTTAGGGTCATAATAGGGCCAGCCAGAGTATATACTAAATGTTTCTTAACTGATCTCTACTTCCAAATTTCTCTTGGGCACTCTCCTTTGGTAATTTTCCACAAGTTTTCTCTTTAACTAAAAAGACATTTTCCTTTGTTTAAAAAAAAAAAAAGCGATCATTTCTTCCCTGTATACATGTTCATAGAGATACTCAGACCTTTTGAAGCATCACACACCAGTTTCCCTGATCATAGCAGCTCTGCAGCACGCTCACGTCAGTCAAAGCCCGGCAGGCAGCTTCCAATTCCCCCCCACTGAACACGTGGTAGTAACGATGAAACACAGCGCTCGGGTCACGAGCTGCCCCCAGACCAGATGGCTCAAGAGGTTTGTCTTTACCAGGGTTTCCCTTAAGGTGCCAGGGAACCAGTAAGTCTTGGGAATGAAAAGAAGTCCTGTTAGTGTGAATAGGCAGCTTGGAATTAGTAACTTTCCTTGAATTACATGCTCCCTCCTGAAAGTCACTAATGGAGGGGACAGAACATGCTGGATCTTGACTGTCCACATTAGGCATTTGCTCTACACGCAACTCTTGCACTGATGTACCACTGTTGATTGCTTTTTTCTTTCCTTGGCTAATTCTGTTTTCTCTAAGATACTTAGACTTTTTCTTATCATATTCTTGTTCCATTGCCCAGACATAAATGAGTGCCTTCCCACCAGGTCTCAGGAGTCGAACAAGTTCTTGGAGAGCTGCCACTCTACGCTCCTAAGAAAAAAAGCATATGGCCATTTATCATCTAGAAAGAGATACAGAGAGGGAATAGGAAAATATAACCGACTATAGGACTGCTTTCCATTAAGATGAACAGCCCCAAAAATCTAACATAGTATCTTATATAAAACAAAATAGAAAAAGGGAAGGGAATTTTGTTCTGACTGAAGGGGGAAAAATGTACTGAAGTAGGGAAAAGGAAATAACACTTTTAATAAAACAGAGGCATAGAGGGTTTTTCCTTTTGTTTTGTTTTGCTTTGTTTTGAATTATGTTAAGGTCATAAGGTGTACTGAAAATACCGGTGACGCCAACAGAGTGATCTATGAAGTTACTGCTTAGGTCAGGGGAGGGACCACTGACACCCAGACTTTTTCCTATAAGAAAAATATAAAACATTAAAGTCACTTATTTTAATATTAGGAACATGTGTTACTAATTAAAAGTATCAGTGACATCCTACTACCAGTTAACTACTCAAATTTTAAAAAAGAATAGGAAAAGAGGAAAAACAGTATGGGAAGGAAGTAAGACTTGGATATGAGGGAGGGCAGTGAGGGCAGCAAAGGAGGATGAGAAGCTCGAGAGGCCCAGAGCTGATGCCCTCTTAAAGTCTCTCAAAGCTGCAATTCTGGGACTGTGGATTTGAGGAAGGCATTTAAAGACGAGTTAGACTCAGGACAGGAAAAGGAAGGACACATGCAGCCATACAAGCGGAGCCCCGCCAGGCCTCTGTGCGAACACAGCTCCCATGTGGCTTAGCTCCGTTCCACACGCTTTCTTAACAAATGGGGCAAACTGTATGACAACAAAACATGGAAAGAAAAGCAAAACTAAAATAGGGTCCAAATCTGTAAAATCCATGAAGACTTTCTGCCAATTTAGTTATAAGGTTTTGGAGAGAGAAAGACAATACTTACTGCTGTTGCAAAATGGTGAATAACAGCAATGGAGATGCAGGCATCACAAGACCCACTGCGGATCGGTACTGCCAGCGCATCGCAGACAAAGGCCTGGAACCGCCTCTCCCTACAAATCTCTACAAGCTTTTGGCTACGATCACAACCAATCTATAATAGAGAAAGAAAGGATTTCATAACATCTTGTTTAAACATCATGAGAAATTAAGAGTAATGGGCTTATTCCTCACATACTTCATATGTGAAGTTATTAGACATACTTCATATTCACCGTGAATGGTCGAGGACCATGATATAATTAATTTTTAAAGCCAATACAAAGTCAGATTATAACATTTACCGGGCAGCACTTATTACCTTAGCAGGTATCAAACAGAACTCAAATTAGTGAATGGGAACAAAATGAGTAGAATAAAAATGACAGTGGTGACAATAGGAGGCCCTAACTAGTATGTAAATCATCACTCAGAGCCTTGGTATTTTTGTAGTACTACACATTCAAAAATGGAAATTATTCCATAAATATAGACATTAGTCTTCTTGGGGCAACTACAAATAAAGGACTGAAGGTATCTCTCACTACTATATGAAATACACTGTGATGGCCCAGAGGGCAGGAGATGGCTGGGTTTGGGGTTTTTTTCCCTGCCTCCTTATGTTTTTCAATATGTATTTGTATAATCAGAAAATAAAGTCCCAAAACAATAAAAAAGTAACACTATTTATTTCATTTTTTAAAGCTATTCTTTCTGCTGAACAGCTCACATAGATACCAAGAAAGTGCTAAATTCAAAATTTATAAAATTCTATTTAACTAAAATTTTTAGTTTAACCAAACCACCTTGTGTGAATGACAGCACTGAAGGCAGCTAGCTAGCAGTGCCCTTCCATCTTCCTAAGCAGGTGAGGCCTAAAATGCCTTATGCACACGTTAGTTCTGTGTGAAGCTTTTAAGGGCTGGGCCTGTCTTAACTTCTCTCTAGTTTTGTCATTATTTTTTTACACGGTTTTGCTGTCTAGTTCTAAGAATACATACAATGTGAACATGTAAACTGAGGGGGGAATGACAGGGGCTTAAGAAATGTTAAAATACTGATTATCAATTATCCCCAGATATTTCTTCTTAACCCAATGTCTCTTCCCAAAAATCCATGTTCTTCCTTTTTGTCACATCATCTCTCAATGTACATGTTCATCACTGTGTTATTTATAATGGCTGCAAACTGAAAAGACGAAATGTCAGCTATCATCCAACTCACAGAATATTAAGTCCAGGAACTTTATAAGAGTACCTATTAAAATGCAAATATTAATGACACAAATGAGTTATCAAATTGTATGCATATTCATAACTATATAAAAAATTATAGGAAATGTACTATATTTTTCACAATAAACTGGTTTATTAGGGTATAAGGATTATAGGCAAATACCTTTCCTTTCTGAAGGTACACTCCATCCATCTTCTGAAATATGGCTATATTATTTGTATTTCTCAAAAATACACATTTTAAAAACTATTAATATGTAATTATAAGAAAACCAGACTGACAATATATAGTTTCAAGTGCAGAGAAATAAAAGACAAAGGCACAAAAGTGAAAGAGCATACTAAACTCTAGATTTGAATTCTGGCTTCCCCAGTAACTAGCTGAATAGCCTGGAAAAGCTACTTAGTACTCAGAGCCCATTTCCTTATCCTAAAAATACCTACTAGTCAGGTTAATATGGATTCAAATGAAATGACAGAAGCAACAATTACTTGCCATACACAGTTTCTCATTGATGCCAAGATACTTTCCATTTCCACAACCAATATCAGCCACTAGGGAACCACTCGGCAAGGCTTTCAAAAACTCCACAACATGTGGCCAAGGGGTATGTCTCGTGCTGCTGAAGTGTCCAGCAATCTCCTCGTAAACTCGATGGACATATTCTTGCTCCAGTTGTGAGGCTTCTTTATTACTCTCTGGAAATGATGGGGGAGTCTCTTTCATCTGGCTGTCACAGACCAAAGAGTAACCTAATGAAAAAATAAGGCAACACAATCTTTCATTTTTATCCAAGGGATTCATGAAGTATGTTTTCTTAAAAGAACAAGCAAATCAATCCAAATTTGGTGACTAGGGATAAGTAGGCTCTAATTTATCAGCTGAAAAAACAACTCTTACCTAACAAGTTCAATTATATGTGTAAGAGGTCTAATATAAAAAAGGAAGAGGGAGGGAATCCATTTGCAACAAAACATGATTGTAATTGTGCATGCATCATAATGAAAATGCCTATATTTCATCCTGGAATTAAGGGTTCTCTTATTCAGGAAAGCATCTTGATGGGCCTGGCTAAACTGAAATATATTTAGCTAAATTCACACGACTTAAAGGGGTTTTTCTCATGGCCGGTGAAGGAGGTAAGAGCTCTGTGGGCTCTAGGACTCTCAGAAGAAGAAGGAGATGTAGAAGCCAAGTGTCATTTGGTAATAATCATAAGCATTGAATGAACACTATGTGAAGCAGTTTATTATGTATTGTCTCAATTTTCACTGTAACACTATGAGATAATACATCCATTTTATAGATGAGTAAACTAAAGAACAAAATGTTAAATAATGATCACAAAGTGACAAAGACAGTAAGTCATATAGCTGGATTTGCACTGAGGCAGTGGAGACTCCACAGCCCACATTGTCCCCAACTAAACTGTGTGCCTCCTTCAATAGAATGAGAAAGCCCTAAAGGTAACAACATCAAATCGAGGAGATAACAGAAAATTTAGCATACACTGTTATCATAATTAACATCCTAATTATATTAATATTGAAGATGTTCCTTGTTCTGTGCAATGTCTAATATTCATTTTAAATCCTTGCCCATTCTTTGCTATACTATAATTTCCCTTTGTCTTCAGCCAAAGTCTGTGACACATGACATCTTTCTATGGATTGTATTCTAGAGAATAAAAAAGGAGTAGTGTTCCCAGAGAAACCACAGACAAGACTAAGGCAATAATTAGAAATCACATTGCAGCAAATACTTTGGCTGCAGAGTCAATGGATCAGAAATTTTCCCTAAATATGATTAGAGGAGGCCAAACCTTGAGAAAGCCTAGAATAGGGGTGGAAGGATCTAGTCTCTACTAATGTTAAAGTGAAGCTATTAACATTCTAAGTGAACATTAAGAACAGGGTAGCCCCAGAAAGCTTGAGGGCTCTAAAACATACATGTGGAAATAGATGAGTTACATTATGCTGGCTAAATAAGAATTAAATTACACTATAATATATATTATACTTTTCCTAAACTGATCTTAGGAAAATTTTGTTCTCTTAGAAATTATAAACATCTAAGTTATCTTAAAAATCCACAAAGTTTGGCCAAAATTATCCAAAAGACGGTCTTCAACTTTTAAAAAATCTATGAACTAAACCATTTGTAAAGTATCTCCTTCCTAGAATTGGGAGAATGAAATAATAAACTAAGCAGAGAGTGTGGCACATAGTGATTAAAAAAAAAATCTGTGAACCAAATATACAATTGAGCTTCCACAGCACCCCTTACACTTAATTAATGCCCATAACAGAAACATTTGCATAGGAAACTAGCTTGTCTCTCCAACTAAACTTCAATGTCCTTGAGAACAAGAACCATGCTTTATTTTTCTGTACCTTGTAAAGCTACTAGTAGTGTTAAGATACTCATCAAACACAAAATAAACATATTTTAATGGATGCTTTAAGGCCTCAGTGATTAGCAAAAGAAACAAAAGCCTGTTTTAAGCTTCACTAACATTAACATATCAAATACAGAGATTTCAAGTTTTTTAACAGGATATCTTGTAGACATAAGGGTTTTTAACTTAAAACGGTTTTAAGACCAGGACTAAATCCAAAAGCTATTGCTAGATACTGCCATAATCAAAACCCTCAGAATATAAAAAGGATCTTACTGCAACCACCACCATAAAATATTATTTATAAAATAAAAGAGATTTTTACTCAGAAAGGATTAAAGATGGCAGCATAAGAGGTGAGACAGAGACCTCCTCCTAAAATCTCATACTATACAAAAATATAATTAATACAACTAATTCTGAAAGAGCAACAGGAAAGAAGGCTGCACCAGACTGCATACACCTGGAGGAAATAAGAGACCCCATGGAACAGGGTAATGTACCATAGCTGGGACCCAAGCACTTCCCCCTGCCAGATCACTGGCAGGAGGAAGAGAAACAGAGCAGGGAGAGAGTGGAGGCCTGGGACTGCTGAACACCCAGCCCTGGAGATCTGCTTTGGGAGCATAAACCTACAAAGCATAGTGCTCTGGTGATTAGTGGGGTTGGAAAGTTAAGACAAGTGGAATATCTGGAGAAAAGGAGATTCCAGCCGCTTGTGGAATACAGGGATCCATATCTGGCTGATCTGGGAGGGCAGTCTGAGAGACTTCCTAAAAACGAGAGGGCTGCAAAAAGGGCAAGGATTGCACAGAGCTTACTGCTCAGGGGAAAGGACAAGTAAACAGAATTGTCCAAGTACGCTCTACCCAGCAGGTTGGGAACTTTCATGATCCTCAGGTGCTCTAGCCCATGGCTGGCTACACAGCTGCAAGGCCCCCCACTGTGAAAAGCAGCCTCGTGGGCCTTCCTCCAAGCCAGCCCGCACCAGGCTCGCAAATCGGCAAACCCTGCCCTGGCATCAGGTGAGCCAGAGGAAAGCCCTGCCTAGAGCAGCTACAAAGCCAAAGCATAGAGGCTTACACCTATGTGTTCAGCCTACTGGTTCTGGCAGTGGAGGCAGGCATAGTAGCTGGGAAGCAGGAAACAGCTCTTTCCTCCCCAGAGCACCAGCACCACTCTCCTGCGACCCCCAACATCGCTCCAGGGGCTGAACTGCTCCAGAGAGTAGAGCATCTGGGCACTAGAGGGTGCTACATACAAATATGAAACGCCAAAGGAACCTGATTCAAACCAAAATCTCAACAACCCCAGAGAAAGGGCCTAGTGATATTGAACTAATAAATCTTCCTGAAAGAGATTTCAAAAATCATAAACATGTTCCTGGAGGTACAGAAAATATTCATGAACTCAGGAACGAATTTAGGATGGAGATAGAATCATTGAGGAACACACTGGAGGGTATTAAAAGCAGATTAGATATGGTGGAGGAGATGATAAATGAAATAGAAATTAGAGAAGAGGGATACAAAGAAGCTGAGGCACAGAGAGAAAAAAGGATCTCCAGTAATGAAAGAATACTGAGAACTGTGTGACCAATCCAAACGGAACAATATTCGTACTACAGGGGTACCAGAAGAAGAAGAGAGAGAAAAAGGGATAGAAATTGTCTTTGAGGAAGTAATTGCTGAAAACTTCCCCAAACTGGGGAAGGAGATAGTTTCTTGGGTCATGGAGGTGCACAGGTCTCCCAACACAAGGGACCCAAGGAGGACAACACCAAGATATAAAATAATTAAAATGGCGAAGATCAAGGACAAGGACACACTACTAAAGGCAGCCGGGGAGATAAATAAGATCACATACAAAGGAAAACCCATCAGGCTATCATTAGACTTCTCAGCAGAAACCTTACAGGCCAGAGGGAGCGGCAAGATATATTTAATGCAATGAAGCAGAAGAGCCTCGAACAAAGAATACTCTATCTGGCAAGATTATCACTTACATTTGATGGAGAGATAAAACAATCTCCAGATAAGCAAAAGTTGAGAGTTTACCTCCCACAAACCATCTCTACAGTCTATTTTGGAGGGATGGCAATAGATGGAAGTGTTCCTAAGGTTAAATAGCTATCACCAGAGGTAATAAAAAGAGATAGACAAAGGCTACAGAATATCATACCTAATATACAAAGAATGGAGGAGGAAGAAAAGGAAGGGAAAAAAAATAACCTTTACATTGTGTTTGTAATACCATATTAAGTGAGTTAAGTTAGACTGTTAGATAGTAAGGAAATTCTCCTTGAACCTTTGGTAAACACGAACCTAAAGCCTGCAATGGGAATAAGTACATACCTATCGATAACCACTCTAAATGTAAATGGTCTGAATGGACCAATCAAAAGACAGAGTCACTCAAAGGATAAAAAAAGAAGACCCATCTATATGCTGCCTATAGAGACTCTCTTCAAACCCAAAGACATACACAGACTAAAAGTGAAGAGATGGAAAAAGATATTTCATGCAACTAACAGGGAGAAAAAGGAAGGTGTTGCAATACTTTTATCAGACAAAATAGATTTTAAAACAAAAAAAGTCACAAGAGACAAAAAAGACATTACATAATGAATGATAAAGGGGTCAATCCAAAAAGAGGATATAACAATTATATATATCAATGCAACCAACACAGGAGCACCTACATATGGGAAACAAATACTAACAGAATTGAAGGTGGAAATAGAATACAATGCATTCTTTGTAGGAGCCTTCAACACTCCACTCAATCCAAACGACAGATTACCCAGACAGAAAATAAGTAAGGAGACAGAGACACTGAACAACACATTAGAAAAGATGGACCTAACAAACATCTACAGAACTCTACACCCAAAAGCAGCAGGATACACATTCTTCCCAAGTGTACATGGAACATTTTCAAGAATAGATCATATACTAGGTCACAAAAACAGCCACAGTATATTCAAAAAGAATGAAATTGGACCAACCATCTTCTCAGACCACAAAGGTATGAAACTAGAAATAAATTATACAAAGAAAAGGAAAAAGCCCACAAACACATGGAGGCTTAACAACATGCTACTAAATAACCAATGGAACAATGACCAAATAAAAACTGAGATCAAGCAATATATGGAGACAAATGACAACAATAATTCAACACCACAAAATGTGTGGAATGCAGCAAAGGCTGTGCTGAGAGGGAAGTATACTGGAATACAGGCCTACCTCAGAAAAGAACAATTCTATATGAAGAGTCTAAACTGACAATTAACTAAACTAGAAAAAGAAGAACAAATGAGGCCCAAAGTCAGTAGAAGGAAGGACATAGTAAAGATTAGAGGAAAAATAAATAAAATTGAGAAGAATTAAACAATAGAAAGAATCAATAAAAGCAGGAGCTGATTCTTCAAGAAAATAAACAAATAGACAAACCCCTAGCCAGATGTCTATCAAGAAAAAAGAGAGTCTACACACATAAACAGAATTAGAAATGACAAAGGAAAAATCACTACGGACACCACAGAAATACAAATAATTATTAGAGAATACTATGAAAAATTATATGCTGATAAACTGGACAACCTAGAGGAAATGGACAACTTTCTAGAAAAATACAACTTTTCAAGGCTGACCCAAAAAGAAACAGAAAATCTGAGCAGACCAATTACTAGTGACAGAATTGAACTGGTAATCAAAAAACTACCTAAGAACAAAATACCTAGACCAGATGGCTTCACCACTGAGTTTTATCAACCATTTAGTGAAGACCTAATACCCATTCTCCTTAAACTTTTCCAAAAAGTAGAAGAGGAGGGAATACTTACAAACTCTTTCTAGAGGCCAGCATCACCTAATACCTAAACCAGGCAAAGACACTACAAAAAAAGAAAATTACAGACGAACAACCCTGATGAACATAGATGCAAAAATACTCAACAAAATATTAGCAAACCAAACTAAAAAACACATCAAAAAGATCATGCATCATGATCAAGTAGTATTTATTTCAGGGATGCAAGGATGGTACAATATTCGAAAATCCATCATCATCATCTACCACATTAACAAAAAGGACAAAAAACACACGATCATCTCCACAGATGCTGAAAAAGCATTCAACAAAATTCAACATCCATTCATGATAAAAACTCTCAACAAAATGGGTATAAAGCGCAAGTACCTCAACATAATAAAGGCCATATATGCAAAGACCCACAGCAAACATCATACTTAACAACAAAAAGTTGAAAGCCTCTCCTTTAAGATTGGGAACAAGACAAGGGTGCCCATTCTCTCCACTTTTATTCAACATAGTTCTGGAGGTCCTAACCATGGCAATCAGACAACACAAAGAAATAAAAGGCATCTAGATTGGTAAAGAAGAAGTTAAACTGTCACTGTTTGCAGATGACATGATATTGTACATAAAAAACCCTAAAGAATCCACTCAAAAAATACTAGATCTAATATCTGAATTCAGCAAAGTTGCAGGATACAAAATTAATACACTGAAATCTGTTGTATTCCTATACACTAACAACGACCTAGCAAAAAGAGAAATCAGGAAAACAATTCCATTCACAATTGCATCAAAAAGAATAAAATACCCTGGAATAAACTTAACAAAGGAAGTGAAAGACCTATACTCTGAAAACTACAAGACACTAATGAGAGAAATTAGATACCAATAAATGGAAACACATCCCGTGCTCATGGATAGGAAGAATATTGTCAAAACGGCCATCCTGCCTAAAGCAATCTACAGATTCAATGCAATATCTATCAAAATACCAATGGCATTCTTCAATGAACTTAGAGCAAATAGTTCCAAAATTCAAATGGAACCACAAAAGACCCTAAATAGCCAAAGCAATCTTGAGACGGAAGAATGAAGCTCGGGGGATTATGCTCACCAACTTCAAGCTCTACTATAAAGCCACAGTAATCAAGACAATTTGGTATAGGCACAAGAACAGACCCATAGACAAATGGAAAGAAGCAAATATGGTCAATTAATATATGATAACAGAGCCATGGACATACAATGGGGAAAAGACAGCCTCTTCAACAACTGGTGTTCGCAAAACTGGACAGCTACATGCAAGAGAATGAAACTGGATTATTGTCTATCCCCATACACAAAAGTAAACTAGAAATGATGGATCAAAGACCTGAACGTAAGTCGTGAAACTATAAAACTCTTAGAAGACAACATAGGCAAAAATCTCCTGAATACAAACATGAGCAACTTTTTCTGAATGCAGCTCCTCAAGCAAGGGAAACAAAAGCAAAAATGAACACATGGGACTACATCAATCTAAAAAGCTTCTGTACAACAAAGGACACCATCAGCAGAACAAAAAGGCATCCTACAGTATGGGACAATATATGCATAAACAACATATACAACAAGGGGTTAACATCCAAAATATATAAAGAACTCAGAAGCCTCAGAACCAAAAAACAAATAACCCAATTACAAAAGGGTGGAGGATCTGAACAGATACTTCTCCAAAGATGAAATTCAGATGGCCAACAGGCATATGAAAAGATGCTCCACAACACTAATTATCAGGGAAATGCAAATAAAAACCTCACACCAGTTAGGATGGCCAGTATCAAAAAGACTAAGAACAACAAATGGTGGCGACGATGTGAAGAAAGGGGAACCCTCCTACACTGCTGGTGGGAATGTAAGCTAGTTCAACCATTGTGGAAAGCAGTATGGAGGTTCCTCAAAAAACTCAAAATAGAAATACCATTTGACCCAGGAATTCCACTCCTAGGAATTTACCCTAGGAATGCAGTTTCCCAGTCTCAAAAAGACAATATGCACCCCTATGTTTATTGCAGCACTATTTACAATAGCCAAGATATGGAAGTAACCTAAGTGTCCATTAGTAGACGAATGGGTAAAGAAGAGGTGGTACATATACACAATGGAATACTATTCAGCCATAAGAAAGAAATAAATCCTACCATTTGCAACAACATGGATGGAGCTGGAGGTTTTTATGCTCAGTGAAATAAGCCAGGCGGAGAAAGACAAGTATCAAATGATTTCTCTCATTTCTGGAGTATAACAACAAAGCAAAACTGAAGGAACAAAACAGCAGCAGACTCACAGACTCTAAGAAGGGACTAGTGGTTACCAAGGGGAGTGGTGGGGGAGGGTGGGTGGGGAGGCAGGGAGAAGGGATGGAGGAGTATTATGAGTGTCAAACATGGTGTGGGGGATCACGGGGAAGACAGTGTAGCACAGAGAAGACAAATAGTGATTCTGTGGCATCTTACTATACTGTTGGACAGTGACTGCACTGGGGCATGGGGGGGACATGATAACATGGGTGAAGGTAGTAACCACATTGTTTTTTTATGTGAAACCTTCATAAGAGTGTATACCAATAATACCTTAATAGAAAAAAAAATATATATATATATATAAAATAAATACATAAATAAAAACTGGAAAACATGGGGAAATAAAAAGATTTTTATTCATTGAGCCTAAAAAATATAGGTCATGATGTACAATTTAAAATAATATACTCTTGACAAATTTTGGGAGACTTCTTATATTCCTTTTCTAGGTTTCCAAATTGACTAAAACATAAGCCACTGTTTATTCCCCTAGAGGTATCTATTTACTACAGAACCATTCGCCATCTCCAACTTCCCTATTGGGTTAATGAGAAGTAATTTAGAAACTTGACAAGTTGTCTCCAACAAAACCTATTTTTGTAGAAGAGATATTCTAATGTACTACAGTTGTAATACTCTTAATTATGACTCAATAAACAAAATATTTCCTTGGCATCCAACTATGCTCAAGTTCTATATTGGGGAAAATAAAAGTAAGATGCATTCCTACCTCAAGGAATATAAATCTTGAAGTGGGAGAGGTTAATAAAAGTATGTGTAAGTACAACACAAGGCAGAATAATGCAAATGACATTAGGGAAGTTAAAACAAAAGCTCTCCAAGGTTCTGATGGGACTTTAAAAGATTTTCATAATAGATTTACTCTATTTTACAGTGGAACCAAAATTAGATACTTACCACAGTTACAAGGTGTTTGCCTTACTTTCCTAAATGTAAATGACGTCCGTACTCCCCTCCTGCTTAAAGTTAAGTCTCCAGCATCACTGGTGATAATTCCACTTTTGTGCCCCCTGGATGCCTGAACAGTATCAAATTTCCTGGGTGTGATTCTAAAAACAATGTTAAAATAATTTATACTTCAGATCCTTTCAAAATATAGAGAATAGATCAAATTTAGAAGGACTTACTGCAAATATCTATTGGATTGCCTGAACTGTTAAGCACTGTAGAAACAAAGAAATAGAAGTGTCTTATCTTTTAAGAAGTTGTCTTCAGGGTAATCATGAAAAAAATGTACAATGAACAAATTATTCAAGAGGGAAAAATAGAGTAACAAATATTTAGTGCTAATTTCACAAAGGAGAAAAAACAAGAAACAGGTGGGACAAAGAGCAAATAGATAAAATTCAAATCTATTATCAGTGATTATGTCAAATGTAAAAGGACTAAAAAACCCCATTAGAGATTGTCAGACTGGATTAAAAAAATAAAAACCAACTATATGATGATTATAGGATACATACCTTAAGTATAAGGACAGAATATGTTTGAAAATAAAGATAGAAAAAAAAAGATGTAACATACATAAAATATTCTGCATATACCAAGCGAAACCAAATGAAAAGTAGAATGGCTGTACTAATCAGACAAAGTAGACTTTAAGGTAAGAGATAAAAAGGGACATTCATAATAACAACATGGCCAATACAACAGAAAGGTGTAAAAACACTATGTATTTGAATGCACCTAATTAATAATACAGCCTCAAAATACATAAAGCAAAAAGTGAAAAAAATCAAACAGGAGAAATAGACAAATATGTGATTATCATTGGAGTTTCTCATACATTTTTTCTCACTAAGGGAAATTTAGTTGGAAGTTAAGGATATCAACATCAGAAAACAACTGATAATGAAAGAAAAAATGCATGATTAACTCATATTTGTAATACAGACATAAGGGGGAAGTACAAGCCATTCTGGATTGTAAGAAAAGTTTAAAATGGATCCTTGGAGTGAGATCAAATTTTCTAATGGAAAAAAATAATCATCTGGTGAGAAAATATATCCTTTTTAAAGTTAAATTTATATAGCATGAAACACACAGATCTTGTGTACAGTTCCATGAGTTTTGACAAATGTACATAACCATGTAATCACCTCAAAGTACACAATATTTCCATCACCCAAGGAAATTCAGTTGATCTTTCCCTACCTCAAAGCAACCACTGTTCTGATTTTACCACTAGATTGCCTGTTCTCGAATTTCATATATGGTTAGTACTATTTTGTGTCTGGCTTTGTCTGTTCAACATAATGATTTTGAGATTCACCCATACTGTTTTTATATCAGTAGTTCATTGCCTTTTTATTACTGTGTAATATTTCATTGTATGAATATACCACAATTTATCCAAGATCTCTGGTTGATAAACATTTTGATGTTCCTTGTTTGGAACTATTACAAATAAAGCTTCTATGAACATTCTTATACTCATCATTCTTAGATATATTTTTTATTACTGTTGGGTAAATACATAGGAGTGACATGAACAGGTCAAAGGGTAAACTACCAGTCTTCCAAGGTGGTTGTACACAGTTTTCACTTTCACCAGTATCATATGAGAGTTCCAGGCTGCTTGACATTCTGACTAACACTTGGTATTGCCTGAGTTTTTAATTTTAGTCATTTTAGTGAGTGGCAAATAGTATGAAATTGTGCTTTTAATCTGCATTTCCCTGATAACTAATGATGACTTATATTTTCACATGCTTATTAGCCATACATAGATTCTTCTACAGGGGAGAAGGATCTATTCAAATCTTATGCTCACTCTTTTGTTAGATATATATATTGCGGATAATTTCTCCCCATGTGTGGCTTGCCTTTTCATCTTTTAAATGGTATCTTTTGATGAGCATAAATTTTTAATTTTGAGGCAGTTAATTTGTCTTTTATTTTATATTCAGTATGTTCTGAAAACATTCTAAAAAAAGACATGCCTACCCAAAGGCTGCAAAAATATCCTCTTGTATTTTCTTCTAGACATCTTTCGGTTTTGCTTTTACATTTAAATCTATGATCTACTCCATGTTAATCTTTGTGAATGGTGTGAAGTAGATCAAGGTTTATTTTATTTGCACATGGATATCCAATTGTTTCAACACCATCTGTTAAAAAATTTCCTTTCCATGTTGGATTGCATTAGTGTCTTTGTCAAAAATCAAACAACCTTATATATTCTGTCCCACTGGTCTATTTGTCAATTTGTACACCAATACTACATTCTTTTGAATATGTGATTTTTATACTAAGTTTTAAAAATCAGGTAGACTAAATGCTCTAACACTGTTCTTCTATTTCAAATTTGTTTTGATTATTCTTGATCCTTCACATTTCCTTATAAATTTTAGGGTCTGCTATCAATTTTTAAAAAAAACTTTTAAGATTCTGATTGGAGTTATACTAAACCATTAGATTAATCTGGGAACAACTGATATCTTAACAATATTAAATTTCCTATCTATGATTATGGCATCTCTATCCATTTATTTTGATCTTCTTCAATTTCTCTTAGCAATGTTTCATGAATTTCAGTGTGTATGTGTTACATATCTTCTGTTAAATTTATTCCTAAGACTTACATCTTCTCAGGCCAACTTTTCTGCTTGATTTATTCTAGCAAGGCTATCTTCCTATGAAAGTGGTTTTCATAGTCACAAGAAATATGCTAAGCCTGAAATATCTCAGGAAATTTAAAAAAAATAAAAGCACAATTTTATAGTTAAGTTGTTGGTATCTGTTAAGAGCCAGGTAAGTTTTTTCTACACCTCTAGAAAAGAGAAAGTTCAACCATAAAACTAAAATGGATTTAATCCTAAAATTTAAAAATGTATTTTAATTCTCAATTTTCATTCTCCATTGTTATACTGTTTCATTCAAACTATTGTTAGAATCAGAATTCCCAAAAGGCAACAAAGGCAAAAATAAATAATGGACTACATCAAAAGTAAAAGCTTCTGCCCAGCAAAGGATAACCATCAACAAAATAGACAGACAACCCATGGAATGAGACAAAATATTTGTAAACCATATATGTGATAACGGGTTAATATCCAAAACATAGGAAGAACTCATACAACTCAATAACAAAATATAATTCAATTAAAAAATGGGCAGAGGATCTAAATTTTTCCAAGACACAGAGATGGCCGGCAAGTACGTGAAAGGTCCTCAATATCATTAATCATCAGGGAAAAGCAAATCAAAGCCAAAAGAGATTATCACCTCAAAACAACTATTACCAGAAAGATAAGAAACAGTAAGTATTGGCAAGGATGTAGAGAAAGAGAAGACTAGTGAACTGTTGGTGGGAATGTAAACTGGTGCAACCACAATGAAAAACAGTATGGAGGTTCATCAAAAAACTTAAAATAGAACTACCAATGATCCACCTATCCACTTCTGGGTATTTATTCAAAGGAAACAAAAACACTAACTTGAAAAGATATCTGCACCCCCATGTTCACTGTCGCATTATTCACAATGGCCAAAACATAAAATCAACCTAAGCATCCACTGGATGGATGAATGAATAAAGAATATGTGGTATATATATATAATGGAATATTATTCCACCATAAAAAAGAAGGAAATACTATTCGCAACAACATGGATGGACCTTGAGAGCATTATGCTAAGTGAAATAAGACAGGTGGCGAAAGACAAATACTGCAGGATGTCACACATATGTGGATGTAAAACAAAAGCAAAAACAAACTTACAGAGAACAGATTGGTGGCAGCAGGGTGGGCAGATGTGGGGGTAGGTATGGTCGGGTGAAAGGTGGAAAAATGGTGAAGGTGGTCAAAAGGTACAAACTTCCAGGTACAAAATAAGTAAATTCTGGAGATGTACAACATAGTGAGTATAGTTAACAATACTATATAGTACTTTTGAAAGTTGCTAAGGAGTGTATCTTATAAGTTCTTATCACAAGAAAGAAAACTGTAACTGTGTGATGATGGATGCTAATTGGACTTACTGTGATGATCATTTTGCAATATATACATATAAAGATTCATTATGTTGCACATCTGAAACTAATACAATGTTCTATGTGAATTATATCTCAATAAAAAAATTAGAATTCCCTGGTTTATAGCTTTACCAACCATACCATAATTCATTAACTAATTTATTAGAGTACTGAAAAGAAGTCTTTTACAGGTCTTGATACTACTTTAAAAAGCAATTTCCCTCATTTATCAAAAATTAATTTTTTAATATTGATCTTACATATGCTACAAACTTGCTACATGCAATTACAAGTTCTAGTACTTGTTCTGTAGATTTCCTAAGATTTTCTACATCCACAGTCATAGATTTACTTCTTCCTTTCAAATCTGTATGATTTTAATTTCTTTATCCTATTACATAATGTTAATTAGAAGTGATGAGAGCACACATCCCTGCCTTGTTCAGTATCCTAGAAAAAAGCATTCAATATTTCCCCATTAAGTGTGATATTAATTATGGTTTTTTTTTTTTATGGATACCTTTTTTCCTTTGTTCTCTTAATATCATGAATTACAAAGTTTACTTTTCAAATGTTAAATCAATCTTGCACTCCTGGGATAAACTCCACTTGGTCATTATATATTGTTTTTTATGTATTGCAGGAATGCATTTCCTAACATTTTGTTAAAGATTTTCTTCATCTCTGTTATGAGAGATATTGGTCTGTAATTTTCTTTTACTGTAATGTCTTGACAAGTTTTGGTGTCCAGGCAACGTTGTTCTCATACAACAAGTTAAGAGAATGGCTCTTTTAAAAGGGCTTACACTAAAGGAAACTTCTTAGAAGGAAAAGCAAGCAATCATTGGCTAAATTTATGACTGTCTCTCTAATAGCTGAAAATAATTAAAACAATGGTGTTAAGCATAGTCATGAACTTTGGAATATTGAGTATCTTGAAACCATTAGCAAACAAATTTCTCCCCAGGGGACTATGTAGTTCTCTATTATGGCTCTTTTAAATCAGTTACTTCACTTGCTTTGAGTTAAATCTTAGACAGAGGCCAAGCAGTACTTAATTGCTTTTGGCAC